CTTGATAGTCTGGGGTGAAAAAAAAAGCGAAATGACTATTCCGACATGATCCACCACGACACAGATGACAACCCAAACGAAAGTGACAGCACAAGATGGCAGCTATGAACTGGGGATGTCAAGTACAGAAATTTATCTATCTAGGAAGTGTTTTAAAAGACGATGGAAAAATGTGGAAGCCGAAATCCGAAGTCGGGTTAGAAAATGCCTTTCAAAATATAAGTAAACCATTAAGGAAGAGAAAAGAAAAAAAGCAAGGAAAAAACGTCCTTGTATATGATGATTTATATTAGGTAGTTTCATCACGGATGACGAAAACACTGAAGACAAAATAACTATAGTTCGATAGAAAGATACAGAGAATATCATAAACCGGATATGCGATCTACAGGAAGTTTTACGGAAAATGTGACGAAAAAAGACAATTGTATTTGACATCAGATAAAGACAGTTGATAATTCTGGGATACATAATGAAGAAAGATGTATCAATATTTCTGAGATGAGGTATTACGTGCCCTATTTACATTATTCGGACTATTGTCCTCATCTCTGTCGCCATATTTATTACAACGTTTCGGCCGTTGTACACTCCGGCCTTCTTCAGTATCTGTCTATATTTCTGAGATGAGGCATTATGTACACTATTTACATTATTCAGACTATTGTCCTCATCTTTGTCGCCATATTTATCCGATCCTTCAGTAACTGTCTATATTTCTGAGATGAGGTATTATGTACACTATTTACATTATTCAGACTATTGTCCTCATCTTTGTCGCCATATTTATCCGATCCTTCAGTAACTGTCTATATTTCTGAGATGAGGTATTATGTACACTATTTACATTATTCAGACTATTGTCCTCATCTCTGTCGCCATATTTATTACAACGTTTCGGTTGTTGTACGCTCCGGCCTTCTTCAGGTGGCTGGAATGTTGAACTGTACCTCACTGGGGTAGACTGTTCTAGTTCCATGTGCCATGTTTAATGGATGTCATCAGTTATCTCCTGTTAACTCCCCTCTCCAAGTTCTCCACTGCCTTAACCGGGTATTGAAATCACACTCTATGTGTCCTCAAGAACACATGGCACAGTGGATAAAGGCGTTGGTTAGATCCAGTGACAGGACCCCGAGAGTGTGCGTTCAATACCTGGTTAAGGCAGTGGAGAACTTGGAGGGGAACTAACAGGAGATAACTGATAACTGACATTCATTAAACATGACACGTGGAACTAGAACAGTCTACCCCGGTGAGTCAAATAAAGGGGTCAGTTTGACATTCCAACCACCTGAAGAAGGCCGGGACGTACAACGGCCGAAACGTTGTAATAAATATGGCGACAAAGATGGGGACAATAGTCCGAATAATGAAAATAGTGAAGAAAGATGTCTTGGAGAATTTGATACTCACATGACTTACTGAAGGTACAAATTATACAAAACCATGATATTTACTTGAAAATCGCTGAATTTAAAAACGAACGTTGCAATAAGGAAGCATCCAAAATAAAATGAAAGATGAGATTGTCAAACAATAACTATGAATATATTTCATTTAAACATCTAAAACAGCCAGTCAGCTGAAAGACAGTCCTTAGCAAAAAGGGCAGGCCCAGATGCCAGCGAACAAATTGGAGACGTCAAAATAGGGCAAGTACAGAAATTACAAGTACAGGCAAGTGTTTTAACAAACGATGAAAAATGTGGCATAGGAATCCGAAGATCCGTTGGAACAGTGAAAGATGCCTTTCAAAATATAAGCAAAGCATTAAGGAAGAGAAAACAGAGAAGAACGTAATAAAATGTTATTTCATATCAATCCTTCTATATCTCGGTGTGTGTTAGACAATTTCATCACGGATGAAGTGACATTTCTGGGTCATAATATGAGGAAAAACGTCTTGGAGAATTTGACACTCACAAGTCTAACTGAGGGCAAGAGTAACTTCTATAACGTAAAATTTAAGAATGACTTCCTTGTTGCCATATAAAATGAACCGACATAAGATGGAAGATAGACTTTAAAAAATAATGACGACTATATTTCATTTAAGAACCTAAAATATTCAGTAAGTTAAAGGCATTTACTTTGTTTGAAGGTTGACCATTTTAAGTACAAGCTAGAATTACAAAAAACAAGAGAAAGCGATTTCTCAAACATGGCCGTCTAAAGGATGTTTTGTTTGTCTGTTTTGAAACATCGATTTTCTACCAAAAATCAATAGTTTAGTGAGGCGTTTACAGTAGATATATGACGTCAGGGTTCTGTTTAAATCGGCCTCAAAACGCTTTTTTGTAAACACAAGAGAATGTTGAATATTATTATTATTATATTCTGTAGAGTTTTAAAATAAACATAATAATGCATACTCACCTTCATTTATGTGCAATGTTCCTTTTAGGATGTTGGTGGGTATGGCTCTCTTCAGCTTCCTATCCTAAGTAACTCTAATCAACCTATGACTTTTCACAGTTCTCTTTTTTCCTTCTCTGCT